ATTGATTCTCTAATGGACAGTGATTCATAAAACACATTCATGAATCGGAGCTCCTACTGGTCTAAGTACCGAATCAACACTCAAGAGAATTATTTATCTACTTCTTTCTCAAGAAGAAATGGATTCCATCTCATATAATAACATTCCTAGCTACCTATTTCATTATGTCTCCAAAATACAAGAAATAGGATTCAGGGTCTCGGAATCCGTACCGAGTAAATCAAAAGACATAAATCCATAAATAGGAGTTTGTTAAGAACTCAGGATTAAGATCATCCTATATATGACTATCGGTAGACTCAATCAGAATTTCTATGCTTAACAGAAATTATTAAAAATTCATATTGTGTATGTGTCCTTGTTCCACATAATCTTATTATGCGAAATACACTCATTCAATATCTCGCCATATTAACAGTGCGGATAACACCGTTCCATTCTAAATGGGAATGACATGTATTAATAATGTTTTAATTAAAGATTCTAAACTTTAATTAAATTCATCATGAACAATGTTTTTTATTATTATCCTTAAACAATATCCTCTCGTATATAACACTTATATACTATGTTTAAGGTTACATAAACAATCACGGAATTTTCATTTGATATTCATAAAATATTCATAAATATATGCACATAAAATGATGAATAAGCTCTTTTATTAATTAAATAATAAATATCCTATTACATCTCATGCTTCTAGGACACTATTCCCAACACTTATAACCCTTATGTTTGATGCCATAGCTAAGAAAAGTACATGGTATTGACCTAAATTGAAGTTTCTTTTTGTTATAAGGTCTTATGTTTGGATAGCATGTGCAACCAAACACTCTTAGTTGTGAGTAAACATGCTTGGTATGAAAAAGGGTTTCTAAGGGTGTTTTGTTGTGGAGTTTTGGTGTTGGTAATCTGTTTATAAGAAAAACATAAGTTTGAAAGGCTTCATCCCAATATTTGAATGGCATAGAAGCTTGAGCAAGAAGTGTTAAACCAGTTTCAACAACATGTCTATGTTTATGCTCAACCACCCCATTTTGTTCATGAGTATGTGGACAGGGATGCCTATGTTCTACTCCCTGTTGAACTAAAAGGTCTGTAAAAGCTCTAAACTCTCCTCCCCAGTCAGTTTGGATACATTTGATAGGTAAGCCAATTTGTTTTTCCACTAGTGTTTTGAAATTCACAAAGGCTTGTAAGGCTTCAGACTTGGTTCTTAGAAGATATAACCATGTAAAACGAGAGTAAGCATCAATGAAATGAATGTAGTATCTATATCCACTGGAAGATAAAACAAGAGAAGGACCCCACAAATCAGAGTACACAAGCTGTAAAGGACTAGTGTAAACTGTATTTGAGAGAGAAAATGGCAATTTATGAATTTTCCCAAAATAGCAAGACTTGCAAACCAAAACAGATGAAGTTTTATTTATGTAAGAGAGATTACAACTGTTTAATACCAGTTTTACAACCTTATCTGCAGGGTGTCCTAATCTGTTATGCCACAATTCAAAACAAGATGGCTTAACAACAATACTAGTGTAAGCTTTGACATCAGAAATCAATGAACTAGACAATTTGGTAGAATTATGAAATGAAGTACAATAACCACTTTGAGAGTTTACTGGAGAACCAGTTTGAGAGTTTACTGGAATGGTGGACTTGAGATTGATCTAGGTGTTGTCAAACACATAGAGGCCATCTTTAAGACGACCTTCCAGCAGCACCACCTTGATCCTTGACAAAACAAAAGGTAGGATGAAATTCAAAAAACACATTGTTATCAGCTGCAAACTTGGAGACACTTAAGAGGTTTTTACGAATTTCAGGAACATGCAACAAGTGTTTAAGAGTAAGAGATTTAGCTGAGACAAAAGGACTAGAAAAAGTGGAAGAACAATATGCTTAATAGCCAATCCCTTACCATTTCCCATATGCACCTGATCCAAACCATAGAACTCAGAGCTGTTCATGAGATTTGACTGATCTGTAGTCAAATGATTAGTAGCACCTGAATCAGGGAACCACTCCATGTCAGCGGATTCATTAGTGTACCAGACTAAATCAAGAACTGCTTCAGGAGTGGCAAGTAGAGCACCCATTTGAGTAGAATTAGCAGCTGAATTTGGGTTTGGACATTGAGCCAAATTGCCTTGGACAGGATGCTTGAACTGAGAAGGTCCAGTGAAAGACCTGTCAAACTGATAATAGCACTGTATAACCATATGACCCTGTTTTCCACAAAGCTGGCACTGTATTTTGTTGCTATTCCATGACTGTCCTCTACCATGACTGAAGCGACCTCTGCTCTTACTGAAGTGATTACCAGAAAATTGACCAAGTCTAGAAGGAAAACCACCAGAGGATTGTCCAGGGAAAACAGGATTGGAAAAATGGCCAAAATTTGAATTATTTAATCATGAATTTGTGTTAGGTCGACCACTAGTCATGGCAAGATTGGCCAGAGAAGGCCCTGAAGAGGAATTGAAACCATCACTCTGCTTAACAGCTCTTTCAATTCGAACTTCTTGAGCCAGAATGAGAGACTCAACTTCTTCAACAGAATAGTCATTAAAACTGAAGCTTACACTAATTTCTAAGATATCATATTCAGGAGGTAGGCCATTGAAAATTGCATCTATGTGATCCTTAGTAGAAATTCCATGACCAACTAAAGCAAGCATATCAACAAAATGCTAATTCGGAGCAAATACTCATTAACAGACAAAGACTCCTTACGAGTGTTCTGCAATTGAGTTTTAAATTGGGACTTTTTTGCCCTAATTTGAGAGGCGAAGTATACCTCGACCGTACGCCAAATTTGTGCTGCTGTTTCGCAGTTGACCATGCAAGAAAGAATTGAATCAGACATCGAAGCTAGCATCCAAGATACGAGCAACTGATCTTGTTGCTCCCATTCTTCATAAGCTGAATTAACCACACGAAGAAGCTCATCCGCTGGAAAAAGAAACCGTGGAGGAGTCTGTGTAGAATCTGAGAGGAAATCTTAGAGGCAATGACCGCGAACAGTTGCAAGAATCTATCGCCGCCAAACCAAGAAATTATTGTTGTCCAGCTTCGACGCAATAGGATGCGAGAAAGTAACTGGAACAAACCGAGAAGAAGAAGAAGTTGTCGGTGCAGCATCTCCCATGGCGATCGTCGGAAAAGAAGCTCCGTCACCGGCGAAAGGGCTCTGATACCATGTAAAGAAACAAGCTCAACCGATTTCTAGAGAGAGAAAGAGGAATTGATGAGTGAGAAGAACTGAATCTCATTAAGCTCAAATCTGTTACAACTATTTACTTATACATAAATTAGTGAGGATAACAACCTCTAACAAACTATCCAATGAAAGCATTACACGTGTAAACTAAATCTAACATAATTAAGACTTCTTAACATATATAAATGAAAGAGCCATATCAAAAAATAAATACTTGAAGAGCGAATATTTGTGAGTTTTAGGCGCTTTAAATTTTTTTCTTTTAATTTTAACTTTTAAACTTTTTTATTTTTTTATTTTATTCTCTCATAATTTATGCTCATCCTATCATAATCCAAAACGATGATTTTTAAGTGCTCTATTTTTTTTTCTTTTCAACTTTCAACTCCTTTATTTCATTTTGTTATCTTATAATTTAACATGTTTGATGTGTTTCTGTGGTTAAATTCAATTTTTTGATTTAAACTACTATTAAAGTACTTTTGTTTTTTTGAAATTAGGTGTGGGGACTCGAATTCTACGCCTTGTTGTATAATTAGTTGTGAAATCACTATTAGGATATGCATTCCACCACTAAGTGTATATATTATTATTTTTTAATTAATAAGATTTTTTTTTTTCTGAAAATGGTTGTTTGTATTCCACATTATTAAAACTTTAATTATTAAAATTTTAATTACAACCTAATTCGTGCATTGCACGAACCTAAACTAGTTCTCGTAAAAAGAAACAATATCCCTAAATTGGTAAGTGTGGAAGCCTGAAATGGAAAGGACAAGCCCAAAGAAAAAAAAAATTTCACAGGGGAGGGTGTGGCCCTTGAACCGGTGGCAATATGGAGTACGTTTCATATAAGTCTATTTGACATCAAAATGAGTTGTCCGTTACGGTCAAATTCATTATTAGTTTCCCTTATTCAGTTTTGCTTTTTTCTTTCTTTTTCCTTATTTGTCCTAAACGCTTATATAAGATGGACAAAGCTTCAAGCCCGTGCAACATATCAAAAAAGAAAAGAAGAAAAAAAAAAAAATGGAGAAGGAGAAACACTTTGTTTTGGTTCATGGGACTTGCCATGGAGCTTGGTGTTGGTACAAGCTCCTCAGCCTTCTTAAGCTGGCCGGGCACCGTGCCACGGCTTTGGATCTCGGCGCTTCCGGGATCAATCCCAAGCAACTCAACGAGGTCTCCTCCGTTTCTGACTATATCCAACCTCTAATGGACTTCATGGCTTCCCTTCCTCAAGAAGAGCAAGTGATTCTAGTTGGCCATAGCTATGCCGGTTTTTGTATTTCTCTTGCCATGGAAAGCTTCCCTCGAAATATTTTGGTCGCGGTTTTCTTGACTGCCTACATGCCTCATCACAAGTCTCCGCCAGTAACTCTCATACGAGAAGTAGGTGAAATTAAGATCAAATATTTTTGCCTTTGTTTTTTTTTTTTTTTTTTTTTTTTTTTTTTAAAAAATTTTTTTTTTTTTTATATGAAAAAATATCTTATTACTCCTATCGTATATTTCTGAGTCGTCAGATCATTATTAAGTTTCTCTCAGTTTATATATATATATTATTTTAATTCGAGTTTAATTAGATCAAATGTGCAAAAATATGCTAATGGATATGCTAACATGGTCCTTTTTTTCTTTTCTTTCTGTTAATTTCTAACGGGAAAACCAGTTCTTCAAGAGGACCGCAGAGGAATCCTTATTAGATACCCAGATTACATTCCAAGATGATCTGCCAATATCGGTCATTTTTGGTCCAAATTATTTGAGAACAAAAATGTACACGCAATCTCCACCAGAGGCAAGTATAAACACCTTGGACAAATTTATATATTTTACTGAAATGCATAGCAAATTAAAGATTATGTGATCTAGTGCTGTGTTAATTAAGCAGGATTTGGAACTGGCGAAAATGCTAATGAGGCCAACTAGGATGTACATGGATGATTTTTCCAAAGAAGGTCTGCTCACAAAGTCGAAGTTTGGATCGGTGAGTCGGGTTTTTGTAGTCTGCGAGGACGATGAGGTGATGATGGAAGAATTCCAATGGTGGATGATTGAGAATAATCCGACCGAAGAAGTGATGATGATTAGAGGAGCTGATCACATGGCCATGCTCTCAAACCCCAAAGAACTTTGCCAATGCTTACTCAAAGTTGTTGAGAAATTATCATAGACGTCCTTTTGATAATAATATCAAGAACGAGAAGACTTAGACAACTTTAGTGGAAAAATCACTTGGAAGATTTTAGATGTTTGGTGCTTTGTATCTATTATTCACAAATGTTGTCCTTTTTTTTATTTTGCCTCTCTTTTGCCAAACACAATTACGTACACCGAGCGGTCGATCTATATGTCATGTTTTTCTAGCTAACACATGAGAAATAAGTGAGATATATATATGTTACGATAAATCCAAAGAATCCTTTTAAAATTTAATGAAATATGTCTATCATTTGAAAACCTTGTGCCTACATCGCTAGAATTAATATTGGTGCTAGCAATATTATACACATATGCTTTTGATCTCATAACATCTATTGTTTTTTTTTTCTTTTTTTAATTTGCTTTTGTTTCTTATGATATTTCCTATTAATAGCGCGTTCTCCCCGTTTTCTAATTGATTATCAATTAATTTTGTTTGATGTTGTTTATTGTGGATTTTCGAGCTGAACGTAGTTTTTTCTTTTTCTGAAAAGCTAATCATCGTAGTTTTCATGTTGACGTTTACTTTTCTGTCATTTTGTCGTTTCTCCAGTTAGTGTCGTTTTATTGTTGTTGTTTCCAGTACATTTCGTTTGTTTTAATGTCATCTTCTAATTGTTGCCGTTTTCCTAATCATGTCGTATTTCTCGTTTTTCCTCTTAATGCTCGTTTTACCTCTGTTATTATTATCTTTGATGTTCGTTATTGACTAGTCTGTTGTCTGTTCGTTATTGACTTGTCTGTTGTCTGTTCGTTTTTGACTTGCTGTTCGTTATTATCTATTGTTCAGGGAACGTCCTATTTGATTTTTTCAGTTTGATGGGGTTGTCGTTTTTTCATCTGATATTTTCTGATTAGGTTGCTGTCGTTTTTCCCGTTGATAACTTTTTTTCCCCCTTTATGTCACTCGTTTTTCAATTAACGTTATATGTTTTGATGTCGTGTTCTTGTTGTCGTCAGGTGAGGTGGTTTAGTCATGCAGTCTTGTCGGTATTCTCTTTCTCCATGTTAATGTCGTTCATTAAGACCTTTTTTGATATGCCAACAGGTAAGTTAGATATTTTATCTTATGTATAAATTAAAAAATATACAAATTTAATAATTAAAAAAACTTATTTTATTAACACGTTAGGTGTATCAAAAAATCTTTCTAATTATTTTTGTTTTTCATCTGTCGTCATCTCAATGTTATTTTCGCTTCTTATTGTTGTCGTCTTCTAATTTTTATTTACTTTTTTTACTGTTTACATCATTGTCGCCTGGTAATTATTCTTTTTATAATAATTAATTACTAATTATTAATTATTATTGATTAATATGTTATATATTGATAATTATAATTTAATATTAATTATTAATTATTTATTTAATAACCTATTATTATTTATTTTATTATTAATATGTTATATAATTAATTTTTGACAATTAATCTTTAACTAAATAAATAATTACTATATTACTTATTATTTTATTAACAAAATTAAAAGCTTAATAGTAATAAATTAATACTTAATTAATAATTAAGTAATTATTTATTTAATAACCTATTATTATTTATTTTATTGTTAATATGTTATATAATTATTTTTTGACAATTTATCTTTAAGTTATCGAGGTGGTTGGTTCTGAGGCATCGACTTTTCCTTGCTGACATTTTCAAAGTCATGTTGTTTCTTATTTGATGTCATTTCTATACTATTTCCGTTGCATATTATTATCTACTTTTGTGGCTGTTTCTGGTTTTAATAAATAGAATAAATGATAGAGACATCACATCACTTCTGATTCTAAATTTTGCACCAATTTTGACTTGTTATTTTTTTTTATTGATAGCCATTTTAAAAATTTGTCTCATAAATTACTAATAGGAGATTTCATTTATCAATAAAAAAGTAATAATACATATGAAAATCTTATAAAAACTTACAGGATATTTGTTTCACAACTCAAGTTAAGAACTTGAATTGTATATATGAGAGAAAAAAACTGCAGTAAAAAGTTAAATTTAAATTTTTATAAGAGAAAATACTGTAATAATAGAACTTGAGTTTTAATATGTACTTATTCACATAATAGGCCATGGAGCATGGTGCTGGAACAGGCTTGTACAGCTGCTCAAATCAGCAGGCCATCGAGTCACCGCGCTGGACCTGAGCGGCAGTGGAGTTGACCCGAAACGGCTAAACCAGATAACTTCCTTTTCCGAGTATGTTAAGCCATTGATGGAGCTCATGGCACCTCTAGCTGAATATGAGAAGGTGGTTTTGGTTGGCCACAGCTATGGAGGAATGGCTATTTCCTTAGCCACGGAGTTGTTTCCCCGGAGAAGATCACAGTCGCAATTTATGTGACATCTTTTGTGCCTAACAACTCTTCATCTCTACCAGCAACTTTGTGCAAGAGGTATACACAAATGGTACAAATTAATATAGTTTTTGGTAAAATGTGTAACGTTCTGTCTTATACTGTATGTCACTTTCGTTTTGTTTTTATTTTTTTTTTACATAAAAAAATAAACTATCGGTAATTTTTTATTTTTTAATCGTTACATCTGTAATAAAAATTATTTATTTTACATATTTTTTTAATCTAATGTGATTTTAATAAGATTTAAAGGTTATAAACTGACCCAACAGGTATGTTAGCCTACCGGTCCCTTGTACTAATTATTGGCTTTGGTGGACTTTTTGTTTTTTTAAACAAGTTCTTTAAAAGGACCCCAATGGAATCCCTCATGGATTTCCTGTTCTCCTTTGATAATGAACCAGAAAACTCACCAACCTAAGTCATGTTTCAGCCGAAATACATGGCAGCAAACCTTTATCAGCACTGCCAAACAGTGGTAAGTAAATAGCAACCTGGCGTAGCTAGAGAAATTTCAATAGGGCACTATATGAGAGAAATTAAAAATGGTATGTTACGAAGAGGGAGATGTACTTATATATTTCAATTATTAAAAGGAAGCAAACTAAGAGGACATCATGATTTAGAATTATTCTCGTTTTACGTGTATTTTTTGTGATAAAAAAATATTGTAAAAAATCATGAATCATGATTCAGAATCAAAGACGAATATAGGAAATAAACGTCCCCTAAGTTATAATTTTTCATGCAAAATGAAAACATAATTAAAATTTTTTAAAAACCTTACGGGCAAAAATAAAAATTTCAAGAGTTCAGAACAACATGGCTCTGCCACTTATAAAGCAAAATTTACTTGACAAAAATGAAGAAAGAACACGGTCTTTGTTATTCACTTAATTTTCTTTTCATATAGGATTTGATATTAGCAAAGATGTTGGTGAGACCAAGTAGGCTGTTCTTGGAGGACCTGGCCAAAGAATCCATGGTGACAGATGAAAGATTTGGGTCGGTTCGGCTGGTTTTTGTAGTGTGCGACGAGGATGGGCTATTGCAAGAAGATTTCCAGCGCTGGCTTACTGAGAACAGTAAGACCAAGGAGGTGAAGTTGATATTGGGAGCTGACCACATGGTTATGCTTCTGTCTCTTCCAAATTGCTGAGAATTCAACACTATTACTTTATTACTTGGCCCGTTTACTTTGCGAGTTCAAATTGGGAGGTTTGAACCTGTGAGTTTGAATTCTTGGGTTTAAATCTATATGTGACTTTTTTTTTTTATTTGAACTAGTGTTGGATACTTAAGGTCTAAGTAAGGAATAAAGTTTGAAGCAACATTTTGTTATATTATTGAACTATGAGTTTTTTTTATAAAAAAAATGTGAAAATGGAATTTTTGAGTTAGTTTTGTGAAGAGTATTTTAGGTTAGAATCTTATGACTGCATTGTATGAGTTATCAAATCCTATATACTAAGCACTGGCTCTTCTAAAAAATAACAAATTTATTATGCATCTGTCTTTTACAAACTTCTGAGAATTAACCACTGTTGCTATATTACTTTCACTGTACTTTGTGACTTGTGAGTTTAAGTACTATAGATATTAAGCACTAGTACTTCAAACAGAATATGTTAATTGTAAATTTAGTAATTTAAAATTCTTTAAACACTTACGGGGCAAAAGTAAAAATTCTAAAAGTTGGGAAGAATGAGGCTCCGCCATCTATAAAAGCAAACTTTACATGACAAAAATGAAGAAAGAACGACGTCTGTATTATTAATCACATTGTTTCTCTTTTCATATATGATTTGAAACTAGCAAAGATGTTGGTCAGACCAAGTATGCAATTATTAGAGGATAATATATCGAAGCTCAAGTTATATGATAAATCAAGACATAAAAAAAAAAAAAAAAAAAAAAAAAAAATGTAGGAGCGACCCCGGGGCACCCCAAGCCACCCCTGGGAAGCCCCCGGGGGAACCCCCGGGGCACCCCAAGGGCACCCCGGGGCACCCCCGGGACACCCCTGGAGCACCCCCGGGAGATCCCTAGGAGACCTCCGGGAGACACCCGGCAGACCCCCGGGAGACCCACGGGAGACCCCCGGGGCACCCCGGGACACCCCCGGGAACCCCCGGGGCACCACCGGGGCACCCCTGGGGAACCCTAGGGGCGCCCCTGGGGTGCCCCCGGGACGCCCCCGGGGCACACGCGGGACACGCCCAAGAGATCTGCGGGAGACCCCCGGGAGACCCACGGAAGACCCCCGGGAGGCCCCTGGGAGACCTTGTTAAATTTATCTTATATTACTAATAATCTATAAATTATCTTTTCATAATTTAAAGGTTATTTTTCATAATTATAGGTTATTTTTCGTAACTTACAGGTTATATTTCATATTATGCATATTACTTTTTATAACCTGCAGATTATCTTTCGTATATTGCCGGTTATTTTTTGTAGTGACATCAAAATATTGTGCAGTAGAATAAATAATAGAGTTTGAAAAAATAAATTTAAACTTGAAATTTTCTCTTTTCTTTCAAGAACCTGAAACAATAATTTCCATGTTTAAGCAAGTATGCTATTGTTATTTTTTGTTCATTATCCGCTTCAAGACATTGTTCTTCAGAAGGTTGGTGAGCGGTTTTTGGAGGAAAGAGAGAAAGGAAGAGAGTCTCTAAGGTATTTTTAGGATTTTGATTTTTTTAATATAAAATTTGCTATTAATTTTTATTCTTTAAATTTCTAATGTAAATTAGTTTTTGAGAATTTTTAAAAATGCCATCAATAAAATAACACTATTTTATTTATGCCACGATTGTTAAATTTATCTTATGCCACTAATAATTTTATCTTTTCATAATTTGCAAATTATCTTTTGTAACCTATAGGTTATTTTTCACATCCTGCAGGTTATTTTATGTAATGACAGTAAAATTTTGTGTAATAGCATAAACAATAGAGTTGCAAAAAACAATGGTTAAACGTAAAATTTTCTCATTATGTTTTTATCCCCTACAATTATGTTATTTGTCTCATATCTCCCTTCAATTAATTAGAAAGCTCAACAGGCGAATATTAAATAATAGGATTATTATTACTGGTGCCCCTAAATTTTAAAGTCATTCCAAGTTTTTCCCCTGAGCCTTAAAACTCTCATTTTACCCCTTAGAATTTGAATTGTTCCCACTTAACTAAATCTATTGTAATTTTTGTTAAAAACATATAGAAAAAGGACAGTAGTGCAGTCACATGGTATTTTTATTTGAATTTATGTTAAAAATAAACAAATAAAAACTACATGGCCACTTCTAATCCATCTTTTATGTCTAATGTAATTTAACAAAAATTCTTACAAAAGGGTTTAAACGAGATAAATTCAAAATTCACTAAGTAAAGTGAGAGCTTTTAAAATTTAGGGTGTAAAGTGAAAATGACTCTAAAGTTCAAGGGGCACCAATGAGATTAATTAAGAGTAATAAGCCTAAAACATATTAAAGACCCAATATGTGATGAGAACTTTAAAATAAAAAGTGCAACTATTAGGGTTTGGTCTTAAGACTTCTTGCTTTAATATCATATTAGTTTATTAATCCATCATAAAAGTTTAAATTATTAAGAGTTCTAATTATTAAGAGTTCTAATAATAGTTTATATATGTATATATATATATATATTAACTTTAACCACTTTTAAAAAAAAATTATCGATTTTTTTTTTTATAGTGTAAGAAAAAAACCTTAGTAATAAATACAGTTTGAATTGTTAGATTCTCTTCAAGTTCTGTTAAGTTATTAATTTTTTTTTTCAATATGATGTAATTTTGATTTGATCAATCGGACAGTTTTAAACTAGGTATTTCCAGTTCATACCCTCCTGATATTAAAGTCCAAAAATAGCAACTATGCCGCCCATTGATTTGTTTCGTTGTTTATATGTGCTTAATATGTATATCATTTTTTTTTTTAAATGGAGCACGCTTGGTATTAATATGTATATCATTTTCACTCTAAAAAAAAATCTATCATTTTCTATATTTGGAAAATCCTGCTTCAATATCCAAGATAAACCATTTTCCTATGAGAAGTAGAAGGAAATTGGTTGTTCTTATGAAATCTTCCTTTCTTAGCTTAGATTAAGATATCATCAGACCGGTAAGTTCAATCAAATTAAGAAGGAACCACAGGTTTTGTGATTCCTTCTTTCCGCTCGTCAAGCTACAACAATAGCACTCATAAAAGAATTCAAGATTATTACATATATATGAATATCTTTTTTTTTTTTTTTCCCTGAACTACACATTGTCTCCGTTTTGGTTATACAACTTTTGCCGTAAATGAATTGCAAGATTTGTCGTTGTTTAAGCGGAAAATATTATAGGAGAATTTTTGGGTACTTGACTAATGGAAAAATTTATATTAATCGGATAGATCAGATAAATGCTACTTTTTTATTAATGTCTTTGAACTTTGTACTTGTGCCTTCTAAATTTTGAAAAAGGTTCATCTCACTTTTTAAAATATGAAAAGTGATTCAAAACACACCATAAACTAATGTTTTTTTTTTATAAATACTTCCTGAATTATTCATTTGTGTCAACTTGTCCCTGATCTTTTAAGAATTAGGAGCAAATTGATACAAAAAATAATAATTTTAGAGGCAAAAGGACTTAAAATCAATAATTTGTGGGACATTTATAAAAACATAGGTAACATATATAAAAACATAATAATGTCATGTCATTATTTTGTTAATTTTATAAATGTAGGAGGCATTTTAAACTGAGCTACATCCTTCATAAGGTGAAATAAACCCTTTCAAGGGGCATGTTAAAACAACTTACAAAGTTAGGGGCATTTATGAAATTAATCCAAATTTAAAAAATAATTACACCTAATTTTTAGATGAAAGTGGTTCTGGTAATTCAGAAGTTACACTATAATCACCTTGCCTCGCAATGGCTTTGTGTGGGGCCGAAATAAAGCAAAATTATCAACAACAAAAAAACGCATACTTTTCTAACCGACAATAATTCAAAGCCCTATTAAGAGACGAAACGCAGAGCCACAGAACAAAAGAAAAAAGAAAAAGAAAAATGAGATTTTCCAGCTTAAAAGAGATTCTATAACAACATCATTCATAATATCAATATCAAATGGCTTCAGCAAAGGAAAACCATCATGAACATCACGCTAAGCACCACATAGTCTTGGTACACGGCGCGTGCCACGGTGCTTGGTGCTGGTACAAGCTGAAGCCACGTCTAGAGGCGGTGGGCCACCGTGTCACGGCACTCGATCTGGCGGCTTCTGGCATCAACATGAAGGCAATTCAAGACGTTCACTCAATGAATGACTACTCTCAACCTCTCTTGGAACTCTTGGAATCACTTGGTCCAAATGATCAAAAAGTTGTGCTTGTAGGCCACAGCCTTGGAGGCCTGAGTTTGGCCCTGGCCATGGACGAGTTCCCCGAGAAGATCGCCGTCGTCGTTTTCTTGACGGCGTTTGTGCCGGACACCGTCCACCAGCCTTCGTACGTTTTGGACCAGGTAACGGTGACTGGTTTTAATGCTCTAGTTGTTTTAATTATGACGTTAAGCACTCTATACTATATTTGGTCACTATGACCAAAATCTTATCATTATTTTTTTCTTTTATGAGAGAAAGGAAGTGGACGTTTATTTTACGGATTCAAAATTATTTTTAGTTTATGTGTGTTTTTTTAAAAGAAAACATTGTAACGAGTCACGAACTATAATTCAAATTATGACACGAATTCTCGTACTAAATTATACCAAAAATAGTTGCTTTGGCTTAATAGTCCAAAAGCTCATTATTTGGGTTTTGTACTATATTGTTCATTTTTCAACTATTAAATAGCAGTTAAATTGATTGGGGATTAAAAGTCGTGAATTGCTTTGATTATCACGTTGAACTTGAAAATAAAAATTTGAACCGTTTATGCTCCGTTTGTTTTGAAGATTCTGATCTGGTTCTGACTCATGATTTTTAATTCGTTACGGTATTTTTATCTTATAAAAACTTTAAATTTTAAAAATCAGACTCATGAACTATGATTATGAACCCATAAACCAAACACCACCTTTATAATTCAACTAAATAATGAGTTGTACCATAATAATGAGTTCTATCATAATAGTTTATTGCATAGTATATCTAAACTAAATAATGAGTTGTACATTCAGTAAAAAAATTAATGAGTTGTACCATAATATTTTTTGTCTGTGATTTCTTTTTTTTTAGAAGGTAGATTTTCTAGTACGACAGACGCACTGATATGCTAAGTTTTTTAACTATTGAATTTTATAGATATATTGACATACCGGAAAAAGTCGCGTTTAAAAATTAAAATTTGGATTTGGAACGGGATTGGCATTGTCTACTTCCTTTTGTTTTGTATGATTTTTTCTACTTGGGTCAAGTGTGTAATATGTTAATTTGGAATGAATTTTTCCTTAAAAAAATCATTGTTGAGTCGCCTTTCCAATGGTTTTTTTCTTTTCTTTTTTGGCACCGAACAAAATTGCTTTCTTTACTTTGAGTGGATAATACTTTTTTGTTGTTTTGTCACAAGGTCGTAATGAAATATCATTATTTGTGTTATAATATATCCAATCATTTTCATACTCAAGAGTTCCTTTTATTAATCATGAAAGGTGCTCAACATTACATACCTTTGGTTAAATCCTTAAAAATAGAAAATAAAAATAAAAAGTTTTGACCAATCACATAGTGTAAGTGTGTAGAACAGATTAATTAAGACAGATTGTGCTAAAATGCGATTTTCATTACTGCTTTAATTGATAATGGTAAAATTGATCCCCATCTTAATTGATGTACTGATTAACGGTGTTATTCCATCGTTAATATTTATTCCATCTTTTTGTCGGGTCAAAACGTGTTTTTCACTTTCCCTTTTTTTAGGGAACAACACGTTTTAATTACTAGAAAATTTCAAAAATTGCTTTAAAATTTTGTCATTTTCTGTCTGGAAAGTACTTAGAGCGGACTCCATCAGATTCAGATGCATGGCTGGACACTCAGTTTGGCTCATATCAAAGCCCCAATGGACCATTGACGTCGATGTTTTTTGGTCCCAAGTTTTTCTCTTCCAAGCTCTATCAGCTTAGCCCCGCAGAGGTAACATCTTTAATCTCTCACGCACATATAGAGGTGAATTTTCAATTGTTATGTTTTTATTAGTAGTTACTCATCAAATATAAAATTTGATAATGTGGAGTTATAAGAATCTAATCTCATTAATTATTATATAATTTTTAATCAACTATACAATTTATTATAACCATCTAATTAATATCATACAATTAAAATAATAATATCCACCGTTAAGTAAATATTAAAATAACTATTAAACATGTTCACATATTTAGTTAAAGTTATCTTACATGTCACTTCATTAACAGTATCATATTGAACTTGAAGGATCTTGAACTGGCCAACACTTTAGCAAGGCCTGGATCACTATTCCTAGAAGACCTGTCCAAAGCCAAGAAATTCACCGAGGATAGGTTCGGGTCAGTTCCTCAAGTCTATGTTGTTTGCGAAGAAGACAAGGCAATACCGGTGGAATTCCAGCGATGGATGATCGAAAATGGCGATGTGTCGAATGTGGTTGAGCTTTGCGGAGCAGATCACATGCCAATGTTCTCAAAGCCACAAGAATTGTGCGATTCTTTGGTGACGATTGTCGATAAATACGCTTAAATCATTATTATTATTATTATTACCGTTTGAACTTCTTTTGTGCTAGTAACCAAGTGGAGTTTTAAACCAAAAAAAATAAAAAATAAAAGATAAATACACTTAAATCATTATTATTATTACCATTTGAACTTCTTTTGTGCTAGTAACTAAGGGCGTAAAAATTGGTCCGAACCCAAAAAATATGTCCGACCTGTATGACCCGACTAAATAGGTTTTTTTTTTTTTAATTTTCAGATTCAAATGGTCCCAACCTGCACTGTGCGGGTTGGGGCGGGTCGGGCATTCTTGAACCCGCAATGCCCCGACCTGGCCGTTTTGATTCCTATCCCCCCCAGGGCCCAGGCAGGCGTGCTTCCTGTAGCCTTAAATCCCTCGTCCTCAGTCTCTCCTCTGTCCTCTCGCGGTCTCGCCTCTCGCCTCCCTCCTCCACCGCACACCCCCACAGGGCCCCACCCACAACACCATAACACCAGAGAAGACCATTGTTTTCCGCCATTTGTTTTCTTCTATCGTCTTCTTCTATGTTCCTGTAACCGCGCTGAAATCGACCTCTCTCTCTCACACAAAAACATGGCTACATGACTTGCGCGCTCACGGTTTTCATTGAAAACGCTTCTTCGGCTTGAATATGGAAGTTCGCTGGCTCACCGTTATCGCGGTGAATCACCCGCTTTCAAGGTTTTCATTTTTTTTTTTTTTCAAAAAACTTGTTATGGGTGTTTGGTCGATGATAAATTGGAAAGGGAATTCCTAGTCTTAAAAGACTCTCGATTGAGTCAATTGAAGCCAGAATTATTCATTTTGTTCGCGTTAATTAAAGTTCGATTACTTTGTTAATTTATTTAGTAAAGCCGACTATGAAACATCCAAATGCCATCTTACTTTATAGGAAATAAATGCCTTTATTGATTTTTATGACAGAAGCAAAATCAACAATCTTTCTGGTTATTTTGGTCCTTTAATGGTCTATCATTTGCTTGAATTTGATTGCTACAGCTTTACGAAGATGACACTTGCTTGTGTATATTGGATACGAATCCGCTGAGTCGTGGGTAAGTAAGGTATCATCTTAAGCTACAGTTATTAAGTTCTTCATCCAGAGTTAAGAGAAAACACTCACAAATATGCGCAGAAATGTTAAATTTTTTTTTTTTTTTTTATCTAATACTAAAATTGTAAATTATTTAAATTTATGGTTTTCTTTTCCTGGTCCCGCAGGCATTCTCTTATAATACCAAAATCTCATTATTCGTCACTGGAAACAACCCCTCCATCTGCAAGTAACTGACTTAAACTAGACAAAATTGATTTTCAAGCAATAAACTGCTTAGATTTGCACTTGTGTAATAGACGTTTCTCTGGATTCTAATGCTATTTCAATACCTATTCTTGGGCATTGTTTATTAGAAGTTTGCGCGTTATGTACCGAGGGAAATTTGTGTGTTGTTTGAGGTTCTATCGACATATTTGAGGAATAATATAGAGTAAAGTAAACAATAATCAATTTGTTTTGCAGGTGATTGCTGCAATGTGTTCAAAAGTGCCTTTTATAAGTACTGCAATTGATATATGGACTGTTTATTCTGGAATAAACTGTTTATTTTATATAGACTATTTTGTTTCTGAAGATTTTATTTCATCTCCTTATTGTTTATGCTTTTAGACTGTTAAAAGATCTATGAAGTCATAGATTAAAATTAGTTTTCACCAACCCGAGTAACCCAACCCTACCCGAGGTTACCCGAAAGGTTGCGGATTTATAGACTTAAGAGAGTGTCGCGGCCTAAAATTTTCTCAACCCACACTGATCGGGTCGGCTCAACCCGACCCTATCCGGCCGATTTACACCCCTACTAGTAACCAAGTGGAGTTTTAAACCAAAAATAAAAATAAAAAATTAAAGTATGCACTAGCTACAAGCATATTACAATTTACAATGTACTCTTGCTACCATAATATGCTTTTTGTTATAAGAATAAAGCGTTCTCAAATAACTGAGAAGTTGAACACTTTTCCGAAGGGTTTATAGAAAATAAGTTGTGTGACGCCCCTCCTATGAGGCCGCCACTGTAACTTAAACTTTAACTTGTACTTACTGGGGTTTCTTAAAATTTACGGAACATTTTTTTTTTTAATATAAGAAAGAATACTTTCATAATTTGTAACAATAATTTCAAATAAGTGAATCACTAAATTTCTTAAAGCTTTTCTTAATTTCAGTTAAGATAAAACGTTCTAAAAATATCTTTCAAACAGAGCAGCATTTGAACTCCTATTTCAAATACTCTTTAAAAGCCTTTCTAAAACTAGCCAATTCAATCAGGCCATTTAATTTTGACTTTAAAACGGATTTCGTGAGAAATCTTAAATTCAAGTACATCTTAAAGCCCTTTTAAAATCAATCGTTTAAATCGTCATGTTTAAAATTTGTTTATTTGTTGCATGCTCTGTTGCAACGTTCTAAAACTTAAATACTCAAAACAAGGGTTGTTAGCTACAACCTCGGTTTCCTTAACATACATATGTACCTATACTTTTTAAACATACATGCTTGAAACCTTTAAATCATATATACATATACATGATTTTTCTTAAACTTACTGCGGAAGATAACTGCG